TATAAAGCTATGAATATGATGCAATGACTGTTGTCATATATATATTTAATGGATTATAATTTTTGAAGAAAGATATTCGAATCTCAATTTTAAGAATAAAGAGTGCATCTTATAATAAGATTTATAATTATTGAATTATAAAATCCAAGTGTTATTGTTATTTATATTTAGTTAATTGATTACAAGTAACTCTTAAATTGAATAATACTGTTGTCATTTCAATATTATCATGACTCAACTAAGTTGATCTTATTCGAACATACACTACCATGACGTAATGGCTTTTTGTCATTTTTCTTGTAGACGAAGCAAGATTGGTCTTTAAGTAAATAAACCAAATCATGAGTGTGGAATCATGTTTTTACATTTTTTAAGACCGGTTTAAGATATATTAATAAATAAACTCTAATATTTTTATTTTAAAATAATAATTGTTTTTTATTTTTTAAATTAAAAATTTAGAGACAATAATTATATTTAATTGTAATATTCTTAAAAAAAAATAAAAGATAAAAAGAGATATTTTGTGATTGGATAATTAATTAAAGTGAATGGATAATAATATTGTTAAAATAGAAAAAGATATTTGTTTACCTTAAAAAATAAAAAAATAAATGAATAATTTGGGATAAATTCTAGATAAAAAAACAGTTATTTTAAAATAAAAAATATATATTTTTCAACTTATACGTTAAGAGTATAAGTTATATTTTTTATAATTGTTTTATATAAAAAAATAAAAATTAATTTTAAATTTATCAACTATTTAATTAAAATTATTCATGTTATATTAATATTAAAAATAATATTTATTTTTATATTTTATTATATGAATTTATTAAAAAATATAGTTAATAAAGTATAAATTTAAAAACTTCAAAAACTATATATATATTTTAATGAATTATAATTTAAAAAAAATTCGAATCTCAATTTTAAAATTAAAAATATAACTTATAAAAAAATTTATAACGATCAAATTACAAGATTTAAGTGCAACTATATATATGCATTTTGTGATGACCAGATCTAAGACGACGTTAATTTACAATGGAGCCCAGGCTTAGGTCCACAAGCCGACCCCTGTCGGATTTTTAATTAGTTTTTGTGCAAGATCACGTGAACGCCAGGCTACGGTTGAAGAGGTATGATGGGGACAGGAGGTTAGGCAGAGGATGGGGATGCTTGAAGAGAGAAATGTTTTAAAATCATACCAATCAGGGGTTGGTAGCTAATTTATTTCAGCTAAAATAAGATTTTGAGTTTAAGAATTTGTGTACGCAGTAATTTTTGTTGAGAGATTCATTCATCATTTTTAGATGCGTGATCCAGATTGATCCATATTAATCAGGACGAAACTCCGGATACTGGACAAAAAACAAAAAAATAAAAAAAAAATTAAAATCATCATCAAAGCCAATTTTTGCATCAATCTAATCAAAATTCTATCCAATGCATATACTCTAGTACCCCATCCCGAGGGTAAGAAGGAGAAAATTAACATATATTTTTATAAACCTTCTCAGTTTTATCCTCTTCAAGCATAAAAAATTTTTCAGACTCGAGCAAGATTGGTAATTAATTATTTCTTCTTCAAAGAAAATGTTAAACAATTTTTTTTTGTAAACGTCAAGAATGTTTCACCTTAAATTAATATACACTTCAGACAAAGACAAATAAAAAAAACAAACCTTTTTCATGCTTACGTACTTCTTAATTTCCAAAAAAATCTAAAAACAAATAACCCAAAATCAAGGGAGGGTCGCTAGCACTACAATCAAACAGTTTCTTTTGATTTTTTTATTAGGTCTAATTAGAATTACGATACAGCCTCAGAATTAAGATCAAATGAACTCCGTGTTGTGCACGAATAGTTATAACAGTGGCAGTAGCATGGGGGTTTCTTTTATTTTTTTACTGTTCACATCTTCACGACATGTATTACCATGTCGTAAATTATTGAAATCTACTCATGCTATTTATTGTCACGTTGACGGAAGCTTGATGGCAATAATTATTCTTCTATTCTATTTTGCTGGACACAACGCCACCCTGAAGGCTTGTTCTCATATGCTTAGGTGAGTTTATGAGCTCTATAAATAGAGCTTTGCACAGGCAGAAGATACAAGAGAAATTGAGAAGAGCTAAGTGAGTATGTGCACTTAGAGAGAAAAGAAATAAAGGGTGAGATAATTATTGTGGAAAGGAGAGGGTATTAGGGAAAATTTAGAAATTTTTATATATTAAAACTAAGGTTCAGAGTTTCTCTAATGAGAAATTTTAAATTATAATTTTATAATAGTAAACTCATTTCTTTCTTTTTAATAGGCACAAACTTATTATAAGATATTTAAATCAAATTACGTTAAATTATTATTTTAGTTTTTTTATTACTTATGTTTGTGTGAGATTGTGATGCTTAAAAATTCCCAACTACAAGGAGCCAAAACCCATGGTGGAAAAATCTACGCCTAGGACCAAAATAAAAAGTACAATAAATCAAGTATATTATATATTGTGTTATTCAACACTCGCATGTTGAAAAAATATGCAAATAAAGATATTAATTTTATATTTTTTATTTAAAAATGTTAATTTTAATAATTTTTAAATAAGATATTGTTAAGAGATGAATTTGTATTTGACAACATGTGCAACCAGTAAAGTCAGCTTTGGACTTGTGATTAGAACAGGCCCACATGGCTTATTTCCACATTAAATTTGCTATATTCCATTTTTTACTAATTATTGCAATAGAATCAATATTGCCAAAAGTGACACTCATCTACTTTGCTAGAAATATTGCAGATATAACCCACTCCAGCATTTATTTTCATATATATGGTTAGATACGGTTAGATCTATCTCTACAACGTAGTTGGGTGTTTTTGACGATCATGTTCTCTATTGTGATATTCATTGCTACATCTTTTCACTCCCAATAATGGACAAAGATCTTACTTTGCTACACATACATGACTCCCATCAATGGACAACGGGCTACATCTACATAGCTCATAACAATGGACAAAGAGCCAAATTTAATATCTCATTTAGCCTCCAACAATGGGCAAAAGGCTATACTTCTACATATCTTCATCACACCGGCTCCTGATAATGAACAAAGGGTTAGATTTCTACATATTGCTCCCGGAAATGGACAAAGAGTCAACGCATACAATTAGTGTGATGTCGATAACAGTTGCAACTCTACAATTGGATAGGATGGCTACCCTCCAATGGTAAAATTCCATCAAGTTGTCATTATTGTATCATTAGAGCATTGGAATGGTGATTTAGGTTTCTCGTATTAATATGCATAATATACTACACAATCAGCATACATTTCTCCACTTAAGGTTGTTCCTTCTTTTGTAAACTATGTCCTCTCCCTTCCAGGATTGAGTTTTCATAAGTTTCTGATGAAGGAGGAGGAAATGGGATTAAATAACCTAGGATGAGTACTGCTGTTTTCTGTTAATGGCAGCCATCTTTGAGGTTTGGGTTTCCATTATCTTATTGATATTTGAGGGAACTCATTCACAATGCTGCACTCTCATGTGCGTGAAGGGCCTAAAGGCATGTGTATATTCTTTATTATGATCTTGTATTGATTTTCTTCATTGGTGTATGAACACTTTGGAAGGATAAGGTCAGTCAGTGCAAGCTAGTATATGCCACTCTTCCCTTCACGACCCCACTCCATCATACACATGGATAAGTACCTACCCTGTATGGATATTAAACCCACTTCTTGAGTTACAACAATACTTCCCATCAACATTGAGCTCACTTTTTCATAATTTTATTTCTTTATGATTTTTAGTGTATACACAAATGTTGTTAATGCATCTCCATTTTGATTCTCAGGAGTTATTTTGGAATGTCAATTAATTTTTCTTTGATGATCAAGAATGCTCTAATTTTACATGGTAGTCTAGATTGACACACACATCAATGCTACTATATGTTACTAGTTAAATTTCCTATGAGTTTTACTTCTATGTTTATCTTCATGATGTAAATTAAAAGGTTTTATAATGATTATTTGTATTGTCATTGATATTCTAAGTTCGTTTTTGGGAGCTGTTTGAACATTGAGTCCTAGAGCAGTGCTAAGGGCACCTGCCTTTCCCCTTTCATTGGGTCACGTAAGCTTGTTTCAGGCTTTGAAGGGCAACCTCTTACCGACCAGACTAACGTGGCCCAATAAAGTGAAAGTGTTGGTCGGAGAGTGCAAAAGGCGTGTGCGCCTAGCACTCCTCTTGTGTCCTATATATAGCTAGCGAAAACTATCTATAAATATAA